GTTCTCTGTTTGAAATCTATGGACGCACTTTGTGTGTAAAACAAGATTAACTTCCAGACCAGTCTATGGACAAAAGATTAATATGCTCGACAATGCAATACAACTGGCAGAATCAAAGTGGACCAATACTGAGAAAACTTGTGTCATACAGTTGATCTCTATCTCTCAGTGACCGTAGCCATCTTCCAAATTCATTGAAGGATAGGCGCTGTTATGTGAATCCAACCATCAGAGATAGCCTATCTGTAATGTGTAAGGTTCGCAGCTCTACAAGTCGGATGTTCAAGCTATGACAAGCTTGGTAGTGGACGTGCATCGTTGACGATTTTCCACAACTCGTATGGAAGTTGCATGAATCATCATGTTCTAGCCACTTGATATTCTACTGTTATGTTGCAGAAAGTGACACGTTATATGTTTTCTGCATCATTGCGCAAATCCTAGGAGATGGGCATTGAAGGCTAGTGGTAGAGTCTCTTCGAGAGTCTGGATAGATCATTGGTGAATGTGCCATCTAGGACCTGAAGTAACAGTATCAAACTGGAACAGTGCACCAGTCAGAAGAGGTGATTCCTCTTCCGTTCAATAAACCATAGATTAGTGGTTTAAGAGAGGAGAATGCTTTTTACCTCCAGGTGTTCATCTTCTATAAATAAACAACATAGTTTCTCTCTCGCACATACCTCTTGTGAACTGTTGTATTCAAGCTTTCGGCGAGTTGTATAGAAGCTTTCAGCTAAAAAGAGACCACCAGCACAATACGGGCAACAAAAGAGGACAAGTGGGACATCGAACGCGTGCAAAAATTAATCACCAAATGCATTAGAAAGCTCAGAACGAACACCTTCCCTGTCGGTTAGTATCCGGGCAAGGTAGGATACCAAAGAGTTTCTGTAGGTAGATATCCGAGGTAGGGTGAGTTTCTATTTGGAACGGGTGGATGGGTACGATCTGCATCCACATATGTCAGTGTGTAAAGCATGGATGCAATCAAATAGGATATTGTCAGCAAAATTCAAGCACGCAACAATATGAGCAGCACGGATCTTATCACTCAGAACAGAGAAAGGAACTTTGGAAACACGGTTGATCATTAAGAGGCCACGCCTCGGCAGCTTGAAATCAGTTTTCAACAAACTAAAGAAAGCCACAGAGGAGTAGTAAAAGGGAATAGGAGAAAAACATTGTTGAACAAAAGCTCCTATCACCGACAAAAGAGAGAACTTTCAGCTTGCGAGCAACAGTTTGGGTATGTAAAGACCAGCGAAGGTTACTTTCAGTGTGACATCCAATCACTTCACATGGCTGACCCTGCTCATCGGCTTTCCCTGAATTTCCACATTGTCCGAGAGAGATGAGGAACAGCTTAAAGTAAAAATACATTCAAGGCAGTTTTCGAGATTAAGATTAGAGTGGAATATGTATCTGGGTGGGATAGGTTTGTGTTATACTCAATGAGTTCTGATTGATTAGATACGGAAACAGAATTGACGATACCATCAACATACTGAAAACTGCTTTCAGGGGAGCAATAGGTATGTCACTGATATAAGTCGCAAAATCATAAGGTGATAGGATAGCACCTTGAAGTACACCCGAAATATTGGATGATGCGATTGACTATCTTCTTCCCAATTGCACATACTGATATCTTGGTGAAAGTAATCACCAAGCCATTCAAGTAAAGAGGTGAAATGAATTTATCAATCAGGGACTCAAGTATGTAAGACACTATGGTACAATCATTGAGTGGTAGGAAGGGTAAGAAAGAGAAACAAGGTTTTCTCATGATTTCAGAGAACTTAATATCAACTGTTCAACATGTGACTTATTTTCGCCATCACCACTGCCTGGGTAGGCATAATGTGTCCGGTCAATTCATCGCATCCTATCGGACGGACGAGGCCGCTCAAAGCACAGGATGCTACACTGAATGAAAGACAAGCAAGTGAAATGTTTACCTGAGCGCGGTCGGTTTAGTGTTCTAAACTAAACCGTGCGCGGTGTCAAACTCCGATTGATTTCGGTGCAATAGCCACTTGTGAGAGCGTTTTTTTCGGAGGTGAGGCGGGGGGGGGGGGGGGNCCCCCCCCCCCCCCCCGTACACACACTCCCTCATCTCCACTCTTTCCCGGTCGGTGACATCATACATTGGGCAATGCGGAAAGCGGTTAACACCGTTTTGGGAGTTAGAGGTGAGAACGATTTTGATAATCCAGAGAGAGATAGGCGGATTAAAGTTATGGTCACGCGTTCGTAGTTTCATCGAACAGACCGTTAAGCTTAGGCGATCTTCACAATTAACCTGGGATAATCGGGATTTCCTCCATTCTTGTTGTGTTGGATTAAGATTCACGTGTGAGACTGGACTGGATCGGGCTATTTTCATGTACACGGGTTAAAACAATACAATCATTTCCGGTTTGCTTAGGTGACGATCTGGGTTATGAGTGACATCCGGTCCAACAATGTTACAATATTACTATCACGAATTTAGATCCGTTTCTAGGGTTGTGTGGGTGGGGGTAAGTGTCGATGAGCCCAAATGTGTGTATACATTTATTGCCGAGGCTAAGTGAAACTTGGATTATTGATGAAAGGGACTAAAACCCATACAGAGGGACAGAATTGCGTTACAAAAGTGATTCTTTTATTTGAACAGTGATTTATTTTTCCTGTAATTCTTATTAATTTCTGATAAAGAGCAATAAACAAAATCGCTAAAGATGACAACAAAACACGTTCATTTACCGTATTTACACTTTCAGGTATGTTTTGTGACACGCCACCACGGAAAAAATTATTCCCTTCTAATATCATGGAGGATGTACCGTTCGCTTTCGGGCAAGTGTCATCCACTCCTCGTCGACCTGTCGGTTTACGGTTGAACGATCCACCGTTCCTACCGAATGAGATGTTGCCTATTGAACCCATTGTGTGTACAATAATGAATCCAACCGAACGATCCAGTCAAACTAATCAGACACTGGGGACCCATTTGTATAGCGCGCCCGCGGAAGATCTGTCTCAAACGCA